GCACACGCCCTATAGCAAAAAAACCTCTCAAAAAAAAAAAAACAAACCTGTCTGCACATTGAAATAACCCAAAGAACTTTTAAAAATTAGAATCTGGGGAACCAGCAATTAGCGTAATGGCTAACTCCCACATAGTCGACCGTGGTTCGTGTCCCGGACCCGGTGGCTTAAAACTCACGCTGGGTGTGTGTGCGTGCGTGCCCAAGATCCCGAGAGGAGAATGGAGGAGAAGGGATTGCGGCGTGACCATCCCCCCTGGGGGGTGATTTCTCGCTTTCTGTCTCTATGTCTCTCTCTGTCTGTCTGGTGGGCACACACGCCCTACAATGAAAATCTCTCAAAAAAAAAAAAAAAATTAGAATCTGGAGCCCCATGCCAGCCTTACTAAATCACAACCTCCAGGGGCCAGGGCTCATGTTCCTGTGTTTTTAACCAATTCCTTTTGTGAAAGTAAAGCAGCAGGTTTTTGTAACTAGTAAAGGAAATAATGATCCAGAGATAATTGAAGGACCAAAATATGGCCACCAGGAAAGGAAGCCAGACCCTTGGCAAGTACAGTTTCAGGGCAGTAAAGGACACTGACATGAAACTGTAGTTGGTTAGGGGTAAGTGGGCATTAAAGAGAGAGAGAGAAAGGAAATCTGGCATTGAGAGACGGGGGTAACCATAGAGAAGCAGGGAGAGCAGGGGAAGCAAGGTCAAAGTAGAGATGTTGTTAAAGATGGGAAGCACTTGAACATTTAAATGCTAATATAAAGAAGACAGTAAAAAGGTTTTCAGGTTTTCAAGGTCCTGGAGAGAGAATGGAGCAAAGTCCCCAAAGAGGAAAGAAGAGACTCCTGAGAACACATCAAGGAATTAAAACTAGTCAGAGATGTCGAGAAGCTCATTTCTACATTACCAGAGAAAGGAAAGGGAAAAGATGCAGACCAAAGGAGGCACATGGATAGGCTGGATCGCAAGCAGTAGAGGAGGTTCCCATGTATTTTCTCTGTGACGTTAGGAGGCAAGGTCATCTGCTAAAAGTGACAGGGAGAAGAGTAGCACCACACAGTGCCCAGTTAATGTTGAAGTCCATCGATTTACACTGGGACCAAGATATACCAAGATATTGTGTGAGTGGTTTTTCCCCTTGTTGCAGTAAGCAACCCATGACATAAGATATCAGGCAAATGACATGATCCTGAGATATAGGAACCAAATGAGATGTGTTCACAACTGCCTCAATTTACTGCCTGGAAAAACTTCAGGGTGCAGAGAGGAAGTGGAAACCTAGGTAAAACTTAACAGTCTTGGGCCAGCCCTGTGGCCAAGTGGGTAAGGGACCAGATCCCACATTGCCGACCACATCGTTCAAACTCCTGCCCCAGCAGCTTGAAAAACACATGGGTGCATGTGTGTTCATTCCCTAAATCC